CGAACACAAAGTTCGGTAGCAAATCACACTTACTTTTTGCTTTGTTTTGATGCTAAAGGTATGCAGAAGAAGGAGAGGAAACTCAGAAAATTGTAGTTTTTTCTGAGCAGAATAGTGTTGTATTTATAGCCAAAGTTGGGTCTCTTCAGAATGGCTGTTTATGCAAAACGCCCACAACATAAATGCCATTACATAAATGGCCATTTACTCAATAATAAAGAGGGAAAATAAAGAGGGAAAATTGAAGAGGGTAGTTACTTTTCTGTTACCAAAACAGAAAAACGGATTGGATTTAATATTAATATTTAATATTAATATTTTGTTATTAAAACAAATATTTAATAACATTTCTGTTAATATTTTACTATTAACAAATAAATTTGGTCCAGTTAATCAATCAATCGATCATTTGACCAAATCCAAATCCGAATCCGAATCCGAAGCCGAAGCCGAAGCCGAAGCCGAAGCCGTAGCCGAAGCCGAGCGAGCGACGACAACGACGGCGCGAGGCTTGCCTTCTTCTCAACTCTTTAAGAGCTAGAAGAAGAGCAATTGCTTATATACCCATAAAAAACCTCTTCCTCTTCCAATATGGGACAATGCCCATTTGCCAAGGGAGGGGGAACTTAAAATTTCACTCAAAAATTTCATTTCCCTCCATTTTCCATTCATCCTCTTTTAAGTATTTAATATATTAATTAAATACCTTAAAAACCCAACATACCGGTCCAGCATAATATGCTGGAGTTCATACACAAGTGCACCGAACTCCAGTATATTATGCTGGACCGGTCTCTATTACAGTAAAATAGTGGCTATTTTTTATTGACTTGGTAAATGCTGGCTATTTTTGATTGACCAGTCCGAAAACTGGCTGTACCGTGCTATTTTTACCATATATGCTGATTATAGATATAGTGGACCAGTACAGTAACTATCTGAAAAGAGTAACGAAGAAAACAAGAATGCTGGTGTGGGATGTGAGGTAAAAAGAAAGAATAAACGAAAATACAAAAACCCCAAAAAAGCAAAGAGTGTGATGTGTATATACGTTTGTGCTTCTTCCTCTTTGCTCTCTTTCTTTCAACTACTCTTCTTTCATTACCGATATTGGGCTTTGACCCTTTTCTTTTTCTCTTTTTACCTCTTATTATGTCCTCGGAATTCTGCTCTGTAAGCTTTCCTTAACCCTTTAATTATAGAGTAACTTTTATGTTCTTTTTTTGTTTTCTTTTTTCAAGTGTTGATATATGTTCTTTTTAGCTATATGGATGATTTGGGACTGCAGGTTTAATGGGATTCTCCATCCTCTTTATGATTTAATTTTGAACTTAAATTTGGAGTGTTCTGTGTTATTAACTTGCTTTGAATTTTGGGGTGTAGTTTAGCTGAAGTGGGTTGTAATTGGTAATTAGTCAAAAGAACCTAATTTTCGAATATACTTGTTGAATTATTGCTCAATTCCATCGCTTATTAATTCGTGTGATTGATCTAAAAAGATAGTAATTCTTTTTTTGTTGTTGTCAAATGCTGTTCATTAAGCACTTGTTCATTTTTCAAAAAGCGATTCTGAATTCTTGGTGAAAAAACTTTTAGTACTAGAATTTTCTTCTTTTGGAAATTGTACTTGAGATCCAAAACTTAAGAAGCTAGACTTGAGTAAACATTTTTCTTTAACTGTGTATCAATGTAATCATCATGTAGTAGAAGGACAAAAGATTGGTAATAATCATCCACGCGCTAGAAAGAAAGTGAGTGATGTGTGCACGAGGTATCTTGCGGCCGTATCTCAAGTGTAATTGTTGTTGTCAGGCATGCATGTTGATGAAACATGCTGCTCAAGAAGCTTAAACTCTCACTTCTAATATAAGAGAAATTACAGCTAAAGCAGGGTAACTTTAAGATGATTTCATTTTAAGATTACGCTATGAACAAAAAGGACAAAAAATTGCTTCATGTTATTGCTTATATTAGTTATAGTTGTTTTCGACCGGACCCGCTTGCATAAAATCCTGGTCCGCCACTGATTGTGAATATGTGGTAGGCGCACATCACGAGTTTGAAACCTGGCTGCTTAACATAGTCCAGCATTTAAGTGGAGAAGGTTAGAAGGGCTTCCAATTATCCTCAAGTTTTAAAGCTAAAACAGCGGATTTCTTGGTCTTAAAAAGACTTATATCCAAGTCCTTTTTTTCCCCTGATATTCTTGTTCTTAAGACCAAAGTTCTTTGTAGACTTTCAGGTTTCTTGTGAGTAAACTGTGATAGGTGTACAACTACTTGGATAAAGTGGTGAACTATAAAGAGTTTGCCATCATTTACTTGAAGAATCGGTTGAAGTACTTGAATTTTAAGTGTGATGTTTGGACCTCTACCTTCATATACACGTGCAATTTGTGTTCTGTTTTCGCTGACCTCTGTTTTTTCAATTGCTTGTGCCTGACTTAGTTCTCTCTTAAAGATCTCGGAGCCGATGACGACTGTTCACCTTTTATGCTATTTGTGATGCAGCTTTGAGTTACTGACTGCAGAGTCGAAACTGCTTGTAAGTCTATCGTTGTTGAATATGTAATTGCTTCCTGAAAGGGCAAGGATTGATTTGTTCTTGTTGTGGTTGCTGTTTTTTTTCTCTAGCTACTCTTCCGTTTCCCATCTTGGCTTTTTATTTCATTAAGAACATCCTGAAGACATTGGTTTCAGCTGCTGATACTTGCTGCTCAGGTGTGATTTTGCTATTCAATACTATGTCACTCTAGTGTATCCTCCACGAAGAAGATGTGACGTGTGTGATTTTCCAAAACGTGGTGACAGGAGTTGGAATTCAGCTGGCTGTCTTTCCAACATGAGTATATGTCACACTTGCATTAAAGGACTAAACTGATTTGGGCAATTTATACGACATACTATATGAAATGGACGACAGTGGGCATCATGATAATGGAAGGCGTAAACCACCTCAGGGCCAGGTGAGTTATAGCAGTCATAGTTAATAATGCTCAAGTCTAGTTTCTTGACTATGGATATTTCTAGTACAAAAGATTTTCCGCAAAATCTTTATCTAAATTGCTCTGGTGATATACGCTACGTTTTCCTGTACTTCAGTGGTTTATGCAGCATCAGCCATCAATGAAGCAGATAATGGCTATCATGGGCGAAAGAGATGCTGCTATTCAAGAGAGGAACTTGGCTCTTTCTGAAAAAAGGGCTGCCTTGGCAGAGCGAGACATGGCCATCTTGCAACGCGATTCAGCTATAGCAGAACGAAATAGTGCCATTATGGAGCGGGATAATGCCATTGCCACTCTTCAGTATCGAGAAAACTCAATGAACAGTGGTAACATGTCTCCTTGTCCGCCCGGATGTCAAATTGCACACGAAGTGAAACACATGCACCATCCACAACAGCATGTACATCATCAACCACAGTTGGGAGAACCTACATTTAACCACAGCGATATGCACATGAATGAGTCATCCTTACTGTCGTCACCAGCTGCTCCAGAGCCCACAAAATCCCGTAGGAACAAAAGATCCAAGGAGGCAAAGTCGGTGACATCTTCTAAAAAGACTTCAAAGCCATCAACAAAAGTGAAAAAGGAAGGTGAAGACCTTAACACGACAATGCTTGACGAATCGCAGGAGTGGAATGGCGCCCAAGAGATGGGTGGTGGAAGTGATGACGTTAATAGGCAGTTGGGTGTGTCAAAGCCGGACTGGAAAGATCAGGGTCTGGGGCTCAACCAGGTTTCTTTTGACGAATCAACCATGCCAGTCCCAATTTGTTCCTGCACCGGAGTTTTAAGGCCTTGCTACAAATGGGGAAATGGAGGTTGGCAATCTTCATGTTGTACAAACAATTTGTCAATGTATCCATTACCAACGCTTCCTAACAAGCGACATGCTAGAATTGGTGGTCGGAAAATGAGTGGAAGTGCATTCACCAAGCTGCTTAGCCGCCTGGCGGCTGAAGGCCACGATCTATCAAATCCAGTTGATCTTAAAGACAACTGGGCAAAGCATGGGACAAACCGCTACATCACCATCAAGTAATGCTTCTAACATTATTCATCCGATAAGATATCTACAAATTTGGGAGGATATATAGAAAGCAATTGCATGCTATCACACGTTTGGTTATTGTGTGTTTCATTGTCGATGGAGAATCGACTTCTATTAGTATAACGGATTCAAAGTGGTTTAATCTATCAAGATTATTCAACGAGGTTTGTTGCAAGTTGATAGTGAACAGATAACTAGTCAAATACACTATGAGTCTTCATAATCAAAGGCAGAGATAATATTGTACAAATAGGGGATAGACAAATTTTAATTAGTTCAAATATCAGGTGTGATATTCTTGTTTTCTTTTTATTTATTTAAATTCAGGAGCAACTATCACAATACACAAAATGACGACAGACAAAAATCTTTGTCTAGTGTCGTAAATCATACTTATTTGATTCTTTAACTGAATCTCTCTGCGTACGATATCGCATCGTGCACGATCAGCTGTCTGTGTACACAGGGCGGATCCCTTCGCCGAAAAATTACAATGTATGTATAAGGCAAAATCTGTTTTTTACCTCTATATATTAAGTTTTGAACACCCTTAACACAATCCAAAAGTGTAGTTTAGTGGTCAAGGGGGTTCAAAATCTACCTAAGGTCATGGGTTCAATTCCCACTAGCTACAAAAAAAAAATTGTGAATCACCTTCGTGAAGATCCTGGCTCCGCCACTGTGTGTACACGTACATCTGTATTGTATATTACCTCTAAAATGATTTAGGTCATTTAATTATGTAAAGAGTAATGCAAATGATATCAACCATAAACTATTGACTCATGTTTCAATCTTGTAAAAATGTGCCGAAACTAAAAGTCGCCATATTGTTTGATAATTGGTATTTTTCGTTCATCAAGGAGCAATTTGATCAATTTTACTGTTTATTATAGGAGAAGCACTATAGATTGCTCTCCCACCCCACAAAAAGATGCCAATATTACTATTTTGATAGTTAAACTATTTTGTTTGGAAATATTCAAATACCGAGTTAGCAGAAAAAAGTTACTCCATAAATTAATGTCTGAATTCACATAAAAATTAGATACGTCGACTTTCACACTCCAAATCCCGCTATCCTTTTTTTAAGTCAACAAATATTTATTAAACAATCAAGCTAAAACAGAGTTATATTACGGAAACATCCCGATATTACTTTATGGAGCGTAGGAAATATAATTTTCTAACTATCAGAATGAAAAGAGAATACTTTTTTTTTTTTAAAAATATTGAGTAATATTAACTTCATTTAACTCATTAAGAACCGAAAAATGACAACATCCCCCCCCCCTCCCCCCACCCACACACACACACAAGATGTAACCTCTGTAGCCTGTTTGACGAAGCTTCTAAAATCAGCTGATTTTGACAAGTGCTTTTCTCAAAAGTACTTTTCAAAAAAATGCTTTTGGTAACAAGTAGTTTGAGTTTGGCTAATTAATTTGAAACACTTTTGAACAGTAATTAGTGTTTGGTCAAGTTTTTGAAAACTTCTTCTAAGTGTATTTTTCTCAAAAATACTTCTCAGAAAAGTGCTTTTAGAGAGAAACTACTTTTTCTGCATCTCAAAAATTGCTTCTGTTTCTCCTCAAAAGCACTTTTTTTCCTTCTAAAAGCTTGGCCAAACACCTCAATTTTTTGCCAAAAACACTTTTGGCAAAAAAAAAAAGTGCTTTTGGCTCAAAAAAAGCTTGGCCGAACAGGCTACTATAGTACTTCCAAAGTTCGGACATTTCTCCAAAAAAAAAAAAGAGTTAATACCCTAAAAACCTCTTAAACTATCACATTTTTGTCAATTTCCTACTTAAACTATTCGGTGTCCCCCAAAAACCCCTGAACTATATTGCCGCTCGTTTCAAAACCTCCTCATCACTGGCCTGGCATAACATGTGTAGATACTCACTAGAGAGCGCGTGGTAGCTGAAAAAAGCCATCAAAATGGCCCACATAACAGAAAATAATGGTTAATTAGCATAACCCTCTTTCAAATTTATTTATTTTTAATAAATATTCTCCTTATTTCAGTTATATCCATCTTTCTTCCTCGTTTTTCACTATTCTTCCTTATTTTTTCACCATTCTTTCTTGTTTTTTCACCTTTCTTCTTTGTTTTTCACTTTCTTCGTCATTTTTTAACCTTTTTTCTTCAGTTCTCCATATGGGTTTCCTCTAGAAAAATTTCCCCCTCTCTTGTTTCCTCTAAAATTATTTATTTTCTTTCTTGTTTTAGTCTTCTTTCATGTCTTACACATATTGTTGAAAGAATACCAATTTAAATCTTCTTATTAAACTCAATACCTTGTAAAGAATAAAGTTGAATCTCTTAAACCTTCTTTATGTAATATGGAATTAGAGAATGTAATTGTTGGGCAAATGATTTTTTATTTGAAATTTTATTTTGTGTAATCTTTTTTATGTAATATAAGATGACTTTTACGAAATACAACACTATATGTCTTTATTTATATTTTAACTGTGGTACAAAGTGAATATAAATAAGGACTTATCAATTGGAGTCTAGCATAAAGCACAATCACAATAAACCTAAAATTAACACAGTACATTAGATATTATTTTGGCCAAAACTCCTCGAATTAATCAATCATTCGAGAGTAATACATCATGAGTAAACTATATAAGAACTTTGTACAAACCATAAGTTAATATAGTTAGACAGACGAACCTTTAAAAGTCCAACATGGGGTTTTAATATATAGGGGAATATAGTTCAGGGGGGTTTTGGGCACACCAGATAGTTTAAGTAGGTAACTGACAAAAAAAATAATAGTTTAGGCGGGTTTTAGGCTGAGTTAAATAGCCACATGTAGTGCTACATAGCGCGTTTTTTTAGACAATTAGGAGCGTGTACTAGACCCACCTCTAAGAATGCAATAAGGGATTTTTAAGGGAGAAATTCAAAAATAGCCAGATTTACCACTGGTCGTTGAAAAATAGTCAAGTTTCAAAAGTCATCGAAATTTAGCCACTTTAAATCTGAGCGAAAACACTGTTCAAAATCCAGAAAAATACGCACGCAAATTTTACGGGAGTTCCAGCATAAGTATGCTTGAACTCCCGTAAATTTTACGGGAGTTCTAGGATAACTATGCTGGAACTCCCGCAAATTTTACGGGAGTTCAAGCATAATTATGCTGGAACTCCCGCAAATTTTACGGGAGTTCCAGCAAGTATAATTGTCCAGTATAATATACTGGAGTTTGGAGCACTGGTGCTCCAGTCTCCCGCAAATTTTACAGGAGTTAGCAAAGTATACCGGTCCAGCATAATATGCTGGAGTTCGTACACAAATGCACCAGAACTCCCGTATATTATACTGGACCGGTCCCTGTTGCAGCAAAATAGTGGCTATTTTTCATTGACTTGATAAACGCTAGCTATTTTTCATTGATCAGTGTGAAAACTGGCTATACCATGATATTTCGCCGATTTTTAATATGAAAGACAATATAGTTCGAGGGGGTGGTTTTGGGACACCGAATAGTTTAAATAGGAAACTAACAAAAACTTCATAGTTTAGGACGATTTTAGAGTATTAACTAAAAAAAAAAATACTCTAAAAATTTTCAGACTCAATTCTCAATTTTCTCTTTCTCCCTTCCTTTCCCCGATTTGTGCAAATGTAATTAGAAAAACTATGTGAGTTGAGGCCGGCACTGAATAGAGCCCGATTGCTAAATGCAGCTGAAATGCAATTGAAATTGAAGTATTCGGACTTTCCTATATGAATCCAAAGTCAGCTACTGTCAAGAAAATTCTCTTTGTTGTCCCTTTCGCATAACTTCGTGCCTGCACTCACTCAGATAGCGAAAGGAACAAAGAACATCATCTCCCAACCCCCACCCTCCTGTCATTGTATGCAATCCAAAGTTTTTGTCTTTTCACTTCTTGTCTTTTCTTTATAATTCAACCGATATCACCGCCATTTTCAGCGGGAAAAGTTCTGCTTCTCAAGTTCCAATTTTTTGACCATTCACTTTATTAACGACGTGGGGTTGTGTCATAACGTTGGAGAGTAGGTTGTGAAATGAACAAAATTCAGGTACTGCATTTTCTTTGTCTTTCTTGAATCTTGTATCTTGTCTTTCTCGTCTTGTTCAGCTGTTTAGGCTGTTGGGGTTTTGTCTGTGATGAAAAAGAGTTGTTGGAGTGAATTTGGGTTTAGTAATTTTTCGTGCTTGAATTATTTTTAGAGCAAGCAGGCTTTAGGGGTTTAGAATCTGATGGAAAGTGGTGAAGTTCTTTGATCATAAGATATAATTTAGCACACCAAAATTTGGAGCTGCTCGACGTACTAGCCCTATAACGGAATTAAACCCGATAGTGTTTTCAAACTTAGGGGAGGATTTCGATTAAGTTGTTTCCGAGTTGGTTGTTTCACTATTGTATTATCTGATTCTGATGGCTCAGCCTAATTCTAAGCCACCCATCAGCCATAATTTTGGTGGGGGAGCTTCTCATACAAGGTCTTTATCTCAACCGAGTATTTTCTCAAACAATGGCCTTCCCCCATTGAGCCCGTTTCCTCATAGTGAGTCATCTATGGCATCAGCTAACTCTAGTTTGAAGGACACATCGATGGAGGAAGTTGATGTTAGTTCCCGAGGACCACCATTTGTCTCCTCTTCAACAAGGGAAAACACATTTCGATGTAGTGATAGTCTTCCTCCTAAGAAAGGGCATCGTCGCTCTAATAGTGATGTTCCGTTGGGATTCTCACCTATGATTCAGTCTTCACTGCAGTTGATGCCCATAAGTGGCCAGGGAGTTGTGGGTGGAGCAACGCTGCTTGGAGATCCCTTGCGAAGGAAATCAGGGGGAGAGGTTGTGGACAAGTTGTCTTCGTACATGAATCTTGAAAACATGGAGGCATTGAACTCTTCTATTACTGAGGATAAAGTTAATGATAGCATTGCCAGTCGCACAAAATTAAGCGGTGGCAACAGCAGCAATAACGAAGCAGAAAGTGTCTCGAAAGGAACTAGTATCAAGAGGAGTGCTGATGCAGATATTACTCCCACCACCCGACATTTTAGGAGTCTTTCAATGGATAGTGCTATTGGAAGTTTTCAATATGGTGAAGAGTCACCAAAATTAACAACTTCCCTGGTAAACTGTCCGGGGCAGCTTTCATCAAGTAAGTCTAGAAATGAAAACTCAGACAAGATCAATTTCGACTTAGGAAACGGTGAATTTAGTGAAGCTGAGATGAGAAAGATTATGGCTGATGAAAGACTGGCAGAGATTGTAGTTTCAGATCCTAAACGTGCCAAAAGGTATGGAGCTGGATTGCTGATTAATTCTTTTCTGTAATTGTAGCCCTCTTTAAATTCCCAGGTTAAATCATCTTCAAGAAAGGAAAAAGAGGGCCTAATTTCACATACTTTTTTTGGAATCTGTAATTTCTTCTGCTCTCAGGATATTGGCCAATCGTCAGTCAGCAGCTCGATCCAAGGAACGTAAATTGCACTATATTTCAGAGTTGGAATATAAGGTTCAGACTCTTCAAACAGAAGCAACCACTTTGTCCACACAAGTGACCATCCTACAGGTGCTTATTAAAAGCTTATAGGTCTCTTTGGTGCTTCTTTTATGAACTTGGTTTTGTTTTGAGGTAATTGGATTTGTTATATCTCATTGCAGAAAGATTTTAATGAGCTTACAAGCTTGAACAATGAGCTGAGATTTCGCCTTCAAGCCATGGAACAACAAGCACAGCTCAGAAATGGTATGTTTCTTTCCTTTTATTTTCTTCTCTTAGTCTTTAGATAAACTAGTTTGCACCCATATGCATTGCACTTTGCATGTAAGTTTTAACTGAAAGAAAAGATTTCTTATTTTAATTCTTTAAGACAAAAAATTTTGGCAATATTTCAATTCTAAGATTCTTATTGCAGAAATCGAGAGAGTGAATATTTTTTTTCTGTACATGTTTCTATATCTTTTGCTTTTTCGTTATTCCAAAGTTGAAAATTTGAAGCTTTCCTATCCCTTGATTTTAAGATACTTAGTTTTGTTTTAATTGTTATGGATGTTGATGGTCGCAAATAGATTTGATGATCTTGCTGAAAATCATTAAAGATTTAGTCAATTTTTGCAATTAAATGGCTTTTTCCAAGAACAGTTTACATATTAGATATTCATTTGGTTATAATTATTGTTTTCTTTGTGCAAACATGGACTCTAAGAAATAAATCAGAAGGAATAGATGTTGCAAATTTACACAGTTTTAGGTGTTTATTGAGTGCAATTACAGGATTTCTTTTAGAAAGAAACTATTTCAAGTACGGTTTACTTGATCTTTGGTTTCTTCTTCATTCCTTGTATTTATATCTTCTCTTATTGAATTCAAAAGTTTGGTGGCTATAATGCTCTAGCACAAGGTGACGTTAGAAGTTACTGAAATAGACTATTCTCTGAAGTGCTCTGTTCTTGAAATTATGCACAGTGTTTTATATGTTTATCTCCAATATGCTTTATATTTCTTGTTTTGTTTATTTATTGAGTTTATCATGTATATAAACAAAAAAAATAATTTTGATCATAAATAAGTCGGCTGTATGAGTACTCTATAAACTGTGTGTAAGGTTTCAAATGTTTAACTCAGAAAATATTGTCGTTCTCTCTTCTTGACCCTTCTGCCAAGCCGCTTTGTTTGTTCATTGGATTGATGTTCGATAGCATTTCCTTCTTCCTAGCAGTTGTCATGTCCCACTATGTTAGTTCTACCGTGATTCCCTTGGCTGGTCAATAATCTGTCTATTAAGTAAGTTAGAGGTTTCGTAAAACTAAAATATCTAAGTGCCACACCTAATGTGTAAGTGTAATGAGAATTACGCCTTAGCGTTCGTAGAGAAGAGAGATGATTGGCACCTCCCCTAACAGGGATGGGTCAGCATGCTTTACCTATTACCTGAACAACATTACAACAATTAAGCCTTAATCCTAACTAGTTAGTATCGTCATTCATCTCTATGGATCCTTTGTTTCAATTGTGCTCTGTCTTAGCTAAGTCCGCATCAATTGCAAAATCATAGGTCCTAAATGGCTATGCAAAAAGTTATTTTAGGTCTAGCTCGTTCATTTACTACTTTCAATCACCATTATTTCGTGCGTAGTGACCGGTGAATAAGGTCTATGTTTGGACATGACTGAATCATCAGTCATCTCGGGTCATAGTCTCGCACTTTGTCCTGTATGTGTACTGCTTGCTCTCTTTATCAGTTGTGAATCACAACTTGTGATCATTATTTGTTTATTGAATCATGTATGCCAAGAGTTCAATCTTAACCCCGTGGTTACTATGACATTCTGAAAGACACTTTCAAAATGTATGTACTTGCTGAAACTCTATGATCCTTCGACCGTGGTTGCCTTCAGTTGGTGGCTGCCTATAGCAGGGATATAATATCTTTTTGATACACACATCCACAAGGAGGGAAACTAGTAATTTTGACTTTGCATTGCAGCTCTGCACGAGGCATTAACTGCAGAAGTCCAGCGTTTAAAGCTTGCGATTGGGGAACTTAAGGAAGGACGGTTGCCTGATAGCATTGCGCGACAGATGCCTATGAAACCTAATATGTTCCAGAAGCAGCGTCAGCAGTCTAGTGAAATCCAACAATTTTCTGTCGCGAAACCAAACACTGCAACAAAGGCTTCAGCTACACCCGCTTCAGCCTAGTGGATGAAAACAAAGCACTGGAGTGGAGAGACATATTATTGGTCTCAAACGGTAAACAGTGCTAAAATGTGAGCTCTTGGATTTGTATCTTTACAGCTTTGTATCTTTTTGGATAGTAGTATTTATTCATTCACGTAATAGACCATTCATATGTTATTGTACTGATTATAATGAAAAATAGAGTCGGACGTCAAGCCAAATTTCCTTTGATTTGTCGTCTGTTTCTAAGATATAGACCATTTGGTTTGAGTTCTAAATTGGTCCAAGTTCTTAATTAGTGTTTTAACTATTTTTGCTTAAAATTAAACTTGCTATATCATTAAAACTCTGCCGATTATAAATTTTACATCGCTACATTTAAGCTTTGTATGGGTCAAAATCTGACCAAGGGAATCTTGCTTAAGAGAGGATAACAAAGAGCCGATTAGGCCGAGGTCGTGCTTAAGAAGGAACCTGTTGGCGAGCTGAGTGGCTAGGGTCGAGGTCGAGCACTCAGATCAGCCCAAACGGCTAGTTTAGTAATAAGATATTTTAGAGGAATATTCTACAGAATATTCTCTGCACTTGTACTTTCAGATAGGTAAGGGATATGTCCCATATAAGTGGGAAAAGAGAGAAAAGAAAAGGTATGTAATATTCTATATGATAAGTTCTCTCATGAAAAGTTGACTCTCGAGTAAATCACAAACATTGTCTTTACAAAAAGATTCGATTTGTTGTTGATCCCACACTTTCTCGCATCAGATCCGAGAAAGCTTTCTATACTCCCACGTTTGTTTATCTTACATCTTTGTCAGAGGAAGAATCATTCACCTTATTGAATATTTGGGTGAATCATTCTCTCTATTTATATTTATTGCCACTTAATATATTTATTGCTTGCCACTACTCCCTCATGCATTCATAACAATACCATTAAACACCCCTTTGTATTAAATTGGTTTAAGTGCGGTTATACGCTGTTCATATCAACTGATTTCAGATCTAGGATTTATTATGTTTAACTAGGATTTACCCATTATCATCTTATTTAATTAGTTTAACAAAAAGGCTTAACACTTTTTGGTCAAATAATTTGGCGCCGTCTGTGGGGATTTTCTAGTTAAAATTTTAGTTCCTTCTAGATCTAAAAAAAATACGAAACTTTGCAAAATCCCGTATTTCCTTGTTTGCACAAATCTGACATGGCAGACAACGGAGAGGAAAAGAGGAAGGCGATAGCCGACCTCACCACCAACCTCCTCCACACCATCAACGAAGTGGACGAAACGGAGGGCGAAGAAAACATCTCTCCCAGGCGACAAAGCTCGCCTCCACCTCTCGGTAGCATCACGATCTCACACGGTAAGGGTGCCTCTACATCCACGACAGAAGAGACACCACCAGCAGTGAAAAAGCTACTTGAGGCATGGTTGACAAACACGCTAACCAGCTTCCTCGACAAGCCCGCTCGAAGGTCGAGTAGAGAAGAGACAAGGGCCAGTGACGCATCAGCAGCAGACGTGCAGCACCCCACCCCCCCTCCCCAATAGGTATTACTCATAATGTTAGTGATGCAGGTAATGACACCCTCACATCCATTTTGAGGAAAATGGAGGAGATGGAGAACGAGAACAAAATGCTCTGTAGACAAATGAAAGAGCACCAAGAGAGGGTAGACAAATACCGGGTGCCCCAAACTTCTGCCAAAAAGAGACGCCGGTCGGTTTGTTGAGCAACCATATAGCGACGAGGCTCCACCGCATGCCATACCAAAGACCTTCAAAATGCCGCTGTACTTAAAAATATACGACGGACCCGGAGGATCATGTGACCCACTATGTCACTGCAGTAAAAGGAAACGACCTTGCCAAAGAACAAGTATCATCCATATTGCTGAAGAAGTTTGGAGAAACCCTAACCGGGGGAGCACTGACTTGGTACTCACAGTTACCTGCGCATTCCATAGAAACGTTCGGGTAAATGGCAGACAAGTTCGTCACCGCCCATGTCGGGACCAAAAAAGCAGAGGCAAAGGTGAACGACATATTCGCCATTAAGCAATCTCCTGCCGAAGGACTCAGAGACTTCCTTGCCCGGTTCAACTGTGTAAGAATGACCCTCCCAAATGTATCTGAGGGGATGGCGGTAGCCGCTTTCCAGAATGGGCTAAGCAGAAGTGGGTCGAGGGCGACCAAAAAGTTGCTAAGCCGACTCATGAAATACCCACCAACCACTTGGGACGAGATACACAATGCCTACTATGCCGAGGTAAGAGCCGACGAGGACGATCTCAACGGACCTACCCAACGTTTGACCTCGGTCCAAATAGAGTCTAGGAAAGACCGGAGAAACGACAGCAGGAGAGATCTAGCGGGATCCCGACCTAATCAAGAAAGACATCAACCTTACGTCAGAGGCACCCTCATGCCACCTCCACACCACGATGAAGGTCCGTCCAGGCTGCGAATGGGAATCCACCAAAATGAGAGAGGTATGCCCCATTTATTATTCGCTCACAACTTTTGTGTTTCCCCCTCAGAAATAGTCTACGCACTGGAGAAGCTCGGCCCAAAAGTGAAATAGCCACAGAAGATGAGATCCGACCCGAGCAGCAGAAAGTCAAATGCCCTCTGCGAATTCCACCAAGAGCGGGGTCATAAAATCGAGGATTGTATTGCCCTAAGATAGGAGGTCGTGAACATGCTTCACCAAGGGCACTTGAAAGAATTGATGAGCGATTGTGGGAGAGCCAACTTCGCCCGAGGGCGAGAACAACACTAGGGACCGCCCAAACCACATTCCCCAGCTCGGACCATTCAAATGATCATCGGAGGAGGCGACGACGCATCTATCAATAGCGTGAAGTTCACTACCACCCACAAACTCAAACGGTCCATCACCCACGAACGGTATGACAAAATCGAAGAAAGTATCATCTTCGATAAGTCGGATACCCACGCTTTGGTCCTTCCTCACTATGACGCTCTTGTCATTACTTTACGTGTCTTTAATACCGATGTAAAACATATTATGGTCGATGACAGGAGCGGCACATGCATCATCCACCCTCGAGTTCTCACCCAAATGAGGCTCGAGGACAAGATAGTGCCGCGTTGCATCATGCTAACAGGCTTTACAATGCAGTTGAGCGGACATCTGGAGAAATCACGCTGCCCGTCCTGGCCGGCGGCATCACTTTGGAGATCACGTTCCACATCATGGACCAGGATACAGCGTACAATGCCACCATAGGCCGACCTTGGATACACGCCATGAAAGTCGTCCCCTCTAGCTTATATCAAGTCATTAAATTTCTCACCCCCCGGGGAGTATTCAGCATCCAAGGAGAGCAACGCACGGCCCGAGAATGCTACTGCATCACCCAAGACTGCACATACACCCAACAACTAAAAGGAAAGGTCGAGGAGACATAGCAATTAACGAAGTCGGGGTCAGGTGGCGATGGGGGAAAGACGTCGTCAGAGATCCCAAAATTGTAGAAGCAGAGGGTCAACCGTAGAGGACCTCGACCCCGTCCAACTAGACGATAACGACCACAACAAGAAGGCTTTCATCGGCCATAAGCTCCAACATCCAGGTAAATTTCGCAATTCTTAAAAAGTAAAGTAGACCTATTTGCTTTTTCCCATGCAGACATGCCAGGTATCCCAAAGGAGATAGCGACTCACAAGTTGAACGTCGACCCATTTTACCCGCCAGTGAGACAAATTGGACGAAAGTTCAACTCCGCAATAAATGACGCGGTCCGCGAATAGGTTGAGAAATTGTTAGAAAATGGTTATATCAGAGAATCGAAGTACCCTCAGTGGGTCACCAACTTGGTCATGGTGAAGAAGAAGAACGGGAAGTGGCGGATGTGCGTAGACTTCACAGATCTGAACAAATCCTGCCCAAAAGACTCATTCCCGCTGCCCCATATTGACCAACTCGTTGACGCTACATCCGGGCACGAACTGCTAAGCTTCTTGGACGCATACTCGGGCTACAACCAAATTCTCATGGAGGAGGAAGACCAGGAAAAGACCACTTTCATCGCCCACCAGGGGACCTACTTCTATAGGGTTATGCCGTTCGGGTTGAAAAACGCAGGGGCAACATATCAGAGGCTTGTGACTAAAATGTTCAAAGATCAACTCAACAAGATCACGGAAATATATATAGACGGCATGTTGGTCAAATCAAAAAGGAAGGAAGACCACATAGACCACTTGAAGGAAGCCTTCGACATACTCAGAAGGTACGGTATGAAATTGAACCCCGAAAAATGCGCCTTTGGCGTAACCTCTAGAAAGTTCCTCAGCTTCTTGGTATCGCAACGAGGCATCGAGGTCAACCCCGACCAAATCAAGGCCATAGAAGGGATCCCTGAAAACTTAACCAGCAAGAAACAAGTACAGAAGCTGACCGGCCGCATAGTCGCCCTATCGAGATTCATCTCACGGTCCTCTGATAGGTGCCACAAATTTTTCGGCGTGCTCAAAAAAGATAACGGACTCCAATGGAATTCAAAGTGCGTCGACGCATTAAAAGAACTAAAGGCCTACCTGTCTTTTCCCCCGCTGCTCGCTAAGGCAGAACCCGGAGAACGTCTCCTTGTCTACCTGGCCGTGTCCGATGTCGCAGTAAGTGCAGTCCTGGTACGAGAAAGTAAAGGTATGCAGTCTCCAATCTACTACATTAGCAAAACTTTGGTCGACGTTGCAACGAGGTACCCCCACCTCGAGAAGCTAGCTCTGGCCTTGGTCGTAGCTTCACGAAAGCTTAGACCTTATTTCCAGTGCCACCCCATCTCAGTAGTCACGACTTTCCTCTAAGGATTATCCTGCACAAACCCGAACTGTCGGGCAGATTGGACAAGTAGGCCATAGAGCTGAGCGAGCACAATATAACCTATCAGTCGCGAACGGTGATAAAGTCGCAAGTACTTGCCATCTGTTTCTAAGATATAGACCATTTGGTTTGAGTTCTAAATTAGTCCAAGTTCTTAATTAGTGTTTTAACTATTTTTGCTTAAGATTAAACCTACTACATCATTAAAACTCTGCGGATTATAAATTTTACATCGCTACATTTAAGCTTGTCGACGAGGGTCTACCGGAAACAACCTCTCTACTTTCTCTAGGTAGGGGTAAGGATTGCGTACACACTACTCTCTCCAGACCCTATTTGCGGGATTTTTCAGTAAGTTTGTTGTTGTTGTTGTAAATTTAAGCTTTTCGTTATGT